AAAAAAAAAAAAAAAAAAAAAAGAGTGAACGGAGAATAGGGAGGATGAGGTAAAATAGAAGCGGAGGGGAGGAGGAAATACGGAAAGCAATGTTGAGGACGATGAGGGAGTAAGTGTCTTTGATATCCGGGGGACCGGATTTGCCGAAGTGCGACATCTTTCTTGCGCCTGCTCCTGACTGAGAGTGCCGTTGTTTGGATTAGGGCTCGAATTTGAGGTTGGGGGTAAATAATCTCGCGTAATACTGACGTGTAACTCTGTCAAAATAGGCGGCCATAATTTTAGACGAATATGACTTCTTTTTTTTCTTTTTTTTCTTTTGAGTACGCCGTTCATCTTTTCCCGCCAAACAAAAAATCAGATTCCAAATATACATTAATTTTTGTTTCCTGCTCACTGGTTAGAGGAAGTCTGATGTCGCCCTGCGTATGGCAGACGTGATATCTCAAGCCAATTTAAAATCACAGCATTAGCATTTTTTTTTTGTTAATGAAGTGTGAAAAAAATTTAATGTGGTATTTTTTTATTACTTAAGATACTAAATTTGTTATATCTCAGAGTTACAGTAAACTTTTTGTAATGGTTAAGAGTTAAAGTGTTTGTATATAAACTTTTAAATTTAAATTTTATAATATGTATTGAGAAATTTAAAAATAAAGGAATTATTTTTTATTATCTAATATTTAAAAAAATTATTTTTTTAATAAAACAAGTTAACTAGTTAGAATTTAAAACCCTAGTAGAAAAAAAGAGAGTAGGAAGTTAGAATGGGATTTTGAACTCTTAACTGTACAAGTAATGAAGCACTTATATATTTAATTTAATCAATTATTTTACAAACCTTTCTCTTATTTTTATTAATTTTTGTACCTTTGTTTAATACAAGTGTTAGTTTAACCTTTTAATTTATAAAATAAAAATATTTTAAAAAATACATTTATTTGTTTTTAAACATGTCCTTATTAGTCATTTAATATTAAACAATAACCGCTAACTATTGTATAGCCAAACAGTTAGATCTATCGAATCCACTATCTACTATCCACTACTCACGTTTTGCTAT